ATAAAGTTTTAATGACAAAATATTTTGGGGTCTCCAAGTTATACTGAGAATGGATTGTTGGTGTTTTACAGGCTCAACGAAATGTGGTATGATATCCAGATGTATTATACTAATCCATAAAGATCCGTGGGACTTCATCACATCAAGGAAGATCACCAGTCGTTTTAACAAATTATGTTCTTTTATACAAATTGTCCTGGAGTTATTATCTTGATGTTCCTCTGATTCAACGAGTCTCACCTAAATGTGTGAACCCGGAAAACTTTTTAGAGCCCCATTACATCATGTGAAATATGTAGTTATAATGACATATTATTTTTAGGTTTCCATGCTATATTGATGATTGGGGCTCGATAATTCCACAATATTTTCAAGCTTTAGAAAAGCCTCGATAAAATGCTTCGAATGTTAGTAGTTTGTCTTGACCAATATGTGATTTAGTAAGTTTTCACATTGCTCTACAATCTTGGATCGTCATACAAGACTTCGATGAGCCTGTAAAGCATCAAGATCTTACAGGAATTTCCCGAATAGCGCGGTGGGTGATACCGCCCATCCACTGCTATTTCTCGGCTGTCCTCCATTGAGATTGAACTTTTCATCTACAGAAAATCAGCTCTATTGGTTCATAGCAGTGGTATTTTGTTAGGATACGTAGAATGAAATCAGATGGGACTCGGATGAAAGTACTTTATGAGAGAAGGGCAAAAGTACTCGCATACCAGTCCCGTTACTCACTATCGGCTGTTTTATTATTTTGAACGTCGATAGACATGATTAAAATACAGTTGTACTACTTTGAGCTAGTACATCGATTGTAATACTGATTGAATATGGTACCTCAATCTAGGTACAGCGGAGTATCATCATGTTTTCCATAGTTGAGGCAGTCTCCTGTTGAACCAATCGACTTAAAGCTGTCATAATACTGAGAAGTTTACATGGGAAAACGAAGCTATATTAAATTGCACTCCTTTAACTCAAATTTGCAAAACGCACGTGGTGGTAAAATAAACACTGCATCAAAATATCAACGGATTTAGCATACAGACAATTAATTCGATGCAACTTCTACCCTTTCATTTTTTACATTTGCAGCATTTTGATTATTTCACTGTTGTTCATTTTACCTGTTATGTTTATTTCCCCTTGAAAATTTAGTAAAAAATTAATTCAATTTGCTTCAAATAATTTGTCAAGGAATTTGTGAACCATTTTACTCAGTTTTCAAGTAAAATTGTCTATTTTCATACTCGAGCAGATTTTTGAGGAAAATTGTGAACAATTTACTCAGTCTATGAGAAATTTGCGTTTCTGCGGAGTTAAGTCAGATTCAACGGCCGAATGTATGGACGCAATATTTTGAGTGCAGTGAAAATTATTAGGGGATGTTAAGCGGCTTGGATCGAAGAGAACAGAAGATGAAAGTTACAATTGAGTTCAAGCTTAAGACTGATGGAAGCGATGGTCTTGAAGGATTGGTTGATGTAGAATGAACTGGTGACAAGGTGGATAGCAGTTCCTATTCCAGTATTAATTTCGAATTCGGAAGTGGTTCAATCAATTGTGTCGGTAGAAAACAGCAAAGTGTTAAATAGCTTGCCGTCAATAGATGCAGAATTTTCCAAGTCCAGTCTCATCCAGCTACGATATACGAAGATAACGATTGATATGCTGTCATCTAAGCAGCCTGGTGCCCTTTATGTTGTTACAAGTTCAAGGAAAAGGATGTACTAATGTCCACAACAGGTACAGCAAAACATCATATAGACGTCCTTATTCGCACTATCTATTTGGGGATAGAAGAAAAATAAGAGCCACCGCAGCCAACTGAAACTTGAACCGAGTACCTGGGAAACCCACGGTAACAGCCAGCAAACGATGCCCGGCCGTATTTAGTTTTTAAATGCATTTTACCCTATGTTGCGGATCAAATTTAATTTTTATTAAATGGATGGATCTCACCAAATGTTGAGCCGGATCCTATTCTTCTGCAAACATAATGTAATGTTATGCTAACCGCCCATTTTCAACACTCCTTTTTCTGAATTCCATACACTTCTTCCACTCTTCTACCGATTCCATGAACCAAACTTCCACTACCATAATGATTTTTGCATTTTTTTTTTTTTTGTTGTTGTCTTCCCTTCTGAACTCAAGCCATCCTTCATCATCAACATTCCCTCGCTTTTCTCTCGCTCCCAATGTTATCCTACAATTTCGAAACCGGACTTCACAAACCCTTCACAACTACCAAACTCTTCCTTTTCCCCCTCCTCCAATCGTCGTAAATGGAATGGCAACACTCTGCTTCCCTAAATAAAATAAAAAAAAAAAACGCTACTCAAAGTTCCCCAAAACTAAAAACGACCGAATAAACGCCACCAAAACACTACATTAACCGAACAACCAGTGTAATTTTTAAATGTACGATAAAAATAAACTTGTTAACTCAAAAGAGATGAAAAACCAAATGGGACTGATAAGCGAGTACGACTCACATGTTGCGATAAGGTCCCATATAGCTCCATGGATTCAAGATATTCAGTCAAGACATCGTACCAGAGTTTGGTTGAGCCTGCAGAATCTCAAGATCTTAACTTCTGGATGAATTAGAGGACTCGAGCTATTTTGTATTTTCCACTTTATATCTTACATGATATAAGGGGGTTCCAAGAGGCTCTCGAAATGCAAAAAATAGTCGGATTATCGTACATATCTCGTTGAGACAGTAGAATCTCAAAATCTGAACTCCAAGATGATTTGTATAATCAGAGATATATTTTTTTAGCACATCCATGTAGCTCACATGATGTGATGAGGTCCAATGTAGCTCCATGGATTCAAGTAATTAGTCAGGATATTACCATTAGATCTTAACTTTTGCGTGATTTGGAGGACTCTATATATTTTGTCATTTCAACTCTCGTTGAGTCAATAGAACATCAAGATTTAAAGCTTATACCCCGCACTGACTATGACTTTTAGCATGTAATACAGACTGTCTTGCAATGAGCACTCATACATAGGATTTCCAGTGAAAACTAGATGTATGAGCGCTAATTGCAAGACAGCCTATACTTTATTACATGATATTAGCCATAGTATGTACGGGGTATTAGTTGATCATGTAGAACTTCAGGATCAACTCTTCAGAATGAATTTAATATATTATAGTTCCTCGCATATGCTGCTGCCGATTTCATATAGTGTGTTTCGGTTCTACGAGGTTCTTTGAACACATATCTATGGATAAGATCTCCTTTGAGTCTCTGTTGATAAAGGCCTAAACTTCAGAATAATTTGGATCTCCTCTAGATCATCAAAAGAGTTCGCTTATTCAAGCATTCCAGTATTCCGTTTCCACAAGGTCTTGCTCCACAATACTGCTTAAGAAACCGCATGACATTTAGAATGTTGAATGTTCTCTCACTTTTGAGCGATGTATCCAGACCAGGAAATCAACATCAACGATTCAGATAAATATAATGTCATTCTCATTTTGGTTACACTCATGATCAGTACAAACTCAAACATCGCAACGGACAGTTCTGGAAACGATAATGCGAATATCATTTGTGTATTTTTGGAACTAGGATGACGTATAGATGTCGAAAATTGATGTACGCCGCCAGTTCAAACTCCAATATGGCGGTCATGGATTTCAGATAAGGGCTAAATACTCGAAATATGGAGATTTTCGGAACAGCTTTGATACTTTTTTTCTGATGGAATGGACGTCATATTGAACTCCAAAATGGCGGCGGACATCGATGTTTCGCCTATACACGTCATCGCAGTTTTTGGGTATTTGACAGTTTTCTTAAACCAACGACCGCCATCTTGGATTTAAAAATGACGGCGGACATTGATTTTTGCCATCAACATGTCATCCCGGTTCCAAAAAATATCCATATTGTTGGGTATTTACCCTCCAGAACAACTTTGCCGAAGACAGCAAGTTCCTAGATTTTGAGATACATTACACAGTGATTGTTATCATATCAGTGGATTATAATTGTTGTTGCTGATCAGGATATGTAACATAGATGTACACTTATGATGATTCCATTTACTGGTGTTTTTATCGTCGGTAACCATCGAAAGATAGGATTTTCTTGATTCCCTGATGCAGACTTACTTCTCCAGTTATTAGGGCTAGTTAAAATATTTACTCAATAAAAATAGGAACATTTTTTTGATATGTTCGATAACTTCATAAGTTGTCGCCATAAATATCATGGAAGCTACCATTTCCACTGCTATCTGTTCACTTCCCTACAAGAAACTACAAAGTATCCACCCCGCCAATTGCTTCGTTATAATCACCAAAGCGCGTGCACCCATCGGGAGCTGCACCGCTGCCAATAACAATTAGCGTAATCTTTCCGCCGGCGATGTCGGTGGGTACCTACTTGTAATATCTGGCAGTCCGCAAGTTGTTGCTTCAAGTGGTTCCATAATTTACAGGGCAATTAGATTATCTGCATGTGGTGGCTCCGTCCGAGATCGTGTGCGTGTGCACTTTTTGGCCATTTGTACGATCGCTTCATTCTCATTTCAGTATCATCAAGCGATGGTAAACAGAAGTGGGACCACCAACCACCCACCCGTGGATAAATAATCATAATTTCTCAAATGATTCCGTGCGGTCATGGGAATGGCAATTGTGATCCTATGGTCGTTGATGGTCGGTCGGAGAAGCATGTAAAATTTATAGCCACCGTACCATTTTTGCCACATGTGCGAATCGGATTAACAATCGGGTGCCAGACGTTGTCTTACAACTGCCTGGCAGTGAGGAAGAAGTGCACTTGAAATTATACAACTTTTATTCGGATCAAACCAGATGGAAATGTTGCACAGGATGCGAAGGAAGAGAGCAATCTGTTCGGAATATTATTAAGTGTTATACGAACGGTTTGCTCTTGAACTCTTTACTTCGTTATCGACATGCAAGAGTTGAAATTAATCAATTTCCAAATTATTCTCTTCCGCAGGTGACACACATCTTCTCATCGAACGAAACACTCCGCAGGCCGGAAGACCACATGGACCACGACGAGCTGCAGCGGTGCTACTACAAGGGCCGGGTGGTGGGCGATGACAAGTCCGCCGTCGCCGTTTCGCTCTGCGAGGGAATTGTAAGTATTTTTTTCCGCACGCTATCTATCCTGAACGGGCAAAAGGGTGTTTTCGTAGAACAATCCGAGCCGCCAGTTGTCAGTTGCTGTGTTGACAGCTAGCCCGTGTAAACAGAATCCACGCACCATATGTGCGCGCGAAAGCAGCACTATCGAGTGATTCCCTGTTATCGATCTTCTTGAATTCAGTTCAGGGCAACTGCAGTATTGCAACTTCACACTGTGTCGGATGTCGGTTCTGGTAACGGTGGTGATCAAGCACATTTAGCGGAACATAAATCTTTCAACTTTGGAAGTGTTGTGGTAACAACGAGCGAACGAGCAAAAACGATATGGGATGGGAATTCTGCTGTTTACGAGAAGCGAAAATTTGGGCGCTAATTTTGGATTTATTGCTTAATTTTAGCGCTACATTTGGCGATGAATGAGCCGCTTGGTGGGCCACGGCGATAAGGATGCGAAATGAGTCACGGAAAAAGCAAATCAGAAATTGTTTCGGGTTGGCTTAGTCATCGGTGGTAGCCCGTGGGGAGTGGAAATGACCTGATTTATGCAGGGTTGTGATTGCATTCTGTATGGGATGATTTTTTTTAAAGCAACATTGTATGTGCGAAAGCATTTCCAGTTGATCCACTAGAAGAAGAAGTTATTGGCTTTTGAAGTGGTTCATCCAGATGTGGCCAGATTCATCTTACCATCCATGGCTTGATGTCTTTTTACTTTGAGCCGTCGGGCAGACCAGTACATGATGTTTTGGAAGTGTCCATTTGTGCCCTATCGGAACCGATGCCAGGTATTCTAAATGGTCAAATTGTAAAAATCCTGGACAGGGTGTCATTTTAGGAGCCTTTATATTTCTTTCGATTCAAAAATGTATTTTTGGGAGCGGGTTGGAGTCTGGGTCATTTTAGGCCCTAATGCACAATGTGTCATTTTTGCCGTAGCACTACGTCCTTAATTTCTATACTGGGGGTCACATTAAAAAAAAAACCAAAATTCAGACATGTAACGAAAAATCCCAAACACGGACGTAACGATAGAGCGCAAATCGAACACACGACACATTGCGCATGCTCACATGAGCGAGCTCACCGCTTTGAATGGAAGGGAGGAGAAAAGCAGTGGTAATAAAAATGCTTGTCAAACCGTTTTCTTCGTCCATGCTCAGTTATGGACAGTGAACTCATCAAAATCGCAAACTGGAAAGCTTACTCGCTCAAGAGCAAAATTATCGAGTTCGGTGACTTCCTCAACGAACATACCAGCGACATCAGCACCGAAACTAACCTGAAACCGGAGGTGAACGTGGCTATCGCTACCAGGAACAACATCTGCTGCCGGCTGCTACCCAGTTTTCAGCTGAAAATCATTGAAGCATTGGGAGTGGAAGTCTTCACATCTATCGGCCCCGTCACCATCATTGCAATCTATTGTCCGAAACAAGCCAACGCCAGGTTGGATCCGCGGCAGACCTGCGGAGAGATATTATCAAGATAACACGATGCCGTGGAAAGTTCATCATCGCTGGCGACCTGAATGCCAAACATCAAGCTTGGGGCAACCATACGCGGAATCAGAACGGCACCATTCTAAACGACGACCTGCAAGAGGCCCAGTACAGCATCCTGGCGCCGGACGCTCCCACCCAGCAGAGCCGGTTTGGCGTGCACTCCATCATCGATATCTTCGTCAGCAACATGGAAAACATCTCCCAACCGGTAGCCCACCAAGAGTTAAGCTCGGACCACTTTCCGGTGGTGGCCGTAGTGGGCTCCTCCGTTAATCGATTCCATGCTTCCCGAAGAATTCGAGATCACGGCTGACGAACTGTTGGCTTATATCAAAACTTCCAAAAACATGAAGGCTCCAGGTTTCGACTACATCCTGAATCTGAAGCTCAAGTACTTGAGTTCCAGATTCTACAACTATCTGGCACTGATTTTCAATCAGTGCCTCCGACTTGGCTACTTCCTCCCGTGCTGGAAGTTAGCTAAAGTCATCCCCATTCGGAAACCTGGGAAGGTTTCTTCCTCTCCTTCAAGTTACCGACCCATCAGCCTTCTCTCAGGGTTATCCAAGCTTTTCGAAAGGGCAGTTTACAGCCGGCTTCTAACATCTGCCGAAGAAAACAACATCTTACTCGAGGAGCAGTTTGGTTTTCGAAAAGGTCGATCAACCGTCCACCAACTGACCCGAGTAACAAACATTCTTAGACGGAAAAAAAACTGTTTCAAAAACATCTGCTATGGCATTGTTAGACGTTGAAAAAGCGTTTGACAATGTCTGGCATGATGACCTAGTGTACAAGCTGCATCGATACGGTCTTCCGATCTTTCTCATGAAGATCATACAAAATTATCTATCGGACAGGACTTTCCAGGTCTCTCTGAATGGCATCACTTCGGATGCCTTTAACTTCGGTGCAGGTGTGCCCCAAGGAAGTATTCTTGGGCCCATCCTGTTCAATCTATTCACCTCCGATATTCCGGCTCTCCCTGATGGTGGATCGTTGTCTTTGTTCGCTGACAACACATCAATCGTCTACAAGGGTAGGGTCGTCGGAGCTCTGACTACCAAACTCCAGAGAGTCTTGGATGTCCTGTCTGAGTATTTCAACAGCTGGAAGATCCGTATCAACGTGGCGAAGACCCAGGTCATAATATTTCCACACTCAAAATCACCCAGACTTGTTCCGTCAGAGAATAACAAAATCTGCCTAAACGGCACAGTGGTGAAGTGATCCAAAGAGGTAGTCTACCTCGGACCAACACTCGACAGCAAACTGATTTTCAGGGAGCATGTTGACAAAACAAAAACGATATGCAACAACTTGATAAGGTCGTTGTACCCGCTTATCAATAGGAGATCCACCCTATCCCTGAAAAACAAGCTTGCTGTCTACAAGCAAATAATCCTTCCCGTCATAGAGTACGGGTTGTCAATCTGGGAGAGTTGCGCACATTCTTATCGCCTCAAACTACAAAGGATCCAGAACAAGATCCTGAGGATGATCCTCAACAGTCCACCGCGTACTAGAAATTCTGAGGTCCACCGCCTGGCTGGTCCCCAGATCTTGGCGTTACGGAGAACTGCTACCATCAAAAGGTTCAGAGATTGCTGCATGCGATCCGATCAACAGATCATTAGGGATCTGGCACGTTAGGTTAGGCAACTAGGTTAACTAGGTAGAATATCAAATTTTCTAATTAAAATCAACAAATATGCTTTCCTTAAAATCAAAATGTAAACTATTACAATGTAAAACTAAAATCAAACAGTAACTTGTTACAGACATAATCACTAAAGATGAAGAGCTTTCGGGCTAAATAAATAAAATGTACAATAATTGTAAACCACAAGACAATAAGTAACGCACCAATACGAAGACAACAACGAGTGCACCCACATCGACCGGAGGAAAGGCTTCCCACAATCAGCGTTGCCAGTATTCCAGATTTATCTGGATTTTCCAGATTTTTAGTCGTCTTGCCAGATACACAGACAGACCACGTATATTTACAGATTTTAATAAATATGTTCCACATTTTCCCAGATTTTTTAAACATGTTGCTTTAAAAGTATCACTGCAATTGAAAAAATAAAAAGCCAAACTTGCTACTTTAATTATTAAAGGCCATCAACGTTGGACATTATTGGAATTTTAAGGTTATTCTGAAAATAGTTCACAGTTAAGTGTGAGGCGAATTCTTTGTGAAATCAAAGGAGAATTTCAAGCTACTTCTGAGTAGAATTACATCCATCTTTGTGAGCTTCGGGGTCGTGCGGCGTCACCCATCATTTAGGCATATTGTGAGTGCCACGAAGTGAGGGTTCGATTCCCGCTCCAGCCGGTGCAAATTTTGGCAACCTGAAAATTTCCTTACTGGTCTAAAGGGTGTGGTGTGTTGTCGTCCGTTGTCTAGTGTTAAATATTCAGTCTGTGCAACCTCTGGTTGAAGACGGTGTAAATTGTCTTGTCAACTCTGATGACAATTGCATGGAGATTTTGTCAATAAAAAAAAATACAATCCGGAAGAGAAATCATAGAAAAAACTTAAGATGAAACTTAAGGAGTATGCTGATACGAATCGTGAGAATAATTTCAAATGAATTCTGTCCAATGTTTCTATGGAGACTTTCAAAACCATTCTGACCTTACCTACAAAGCAGTTCAAAAGGAATTATCGGATAAGTCTGAGAATAGTGTGACGGTCATTCTGAAGAGTGTAGCAAGGAAATTTTTGAGAATATTTTAAGAATTTCATATAGAAAAATGGACACAAAATTGAGCAATTCTTGCCAGTTTGTGGGAATAGTGGAATTGGAGAGTGATGTATAAGAAATTACAAGAGGTAATGCTAAGAACTCTTAGAATGTTACTGGAATAGTTGAGATATTTTCAAGATTATTTTAGAGGAATATAGAAACGAAATATGATGGAATTCTAGAATGATTCAAATTGAACTAAAACAAAAGGCGAAGCTATCCTGTGATGAGTTTCAAGTAAATTCAGAATCCATGATCTGGGGCGCAGAAAAAATATAAATTGTGGAATTTAGACTCATTGGAAGATCCTGATACTTCAAAAATGAAGCTATCAGACTTTTATTTTAGTAGCATAATAAAATTATTCTTTGGCATAAAATTATTCGCTAAAGTCATGCGAATAGTGGAGTTACCCGTAGTTTAGGTAAAATGTGTGTGAGTTCCACGATGTTAGGCTTTGTTTCCCACTTCAGTCCGATCTGGTTGCCTACTGGTCTGCTGGTCTGCTGGGTGTTGTGTGTTGTATAATGTCAGAAATTAAACTGTAGGTCTGATCAACCTCAGAGTAAAATTAGAATTATTTAGAACTAATAAAATCTTTAAATTCTGGTACTGCATCAAATAGTAAGGACTACATCGAATATTAGTTAAAAAATCAATCCCATCAAATTTCCTTGATTCTTTGCTTCTCATTAGTTTTAAAAAAGTTACAGTTTAAAAAACAATTCTAACCA